GCAATGGGTGCTTTGACTTACGAAAGTTTTCGACTTACGAAAGACCCTCGGGAACGGATTAATTTCCCAAGTCGGGGTTCCACTGTATTGGTTTAAATAGTAAGAAAGAAATGTGTCAGGCTAAAGTACAAGTTGTGGTTGCTGGTCTGCTAGTAATCAGACCTGGTTACTGGCCTTGTCTGAACCTGAATCTGACTGAGATGCTGTGGCATCAAAAAGGCGGTTCATTCTCAAAAACCCTCCAATGTGGCTGAATGACATCAACTGTCCAAAGATGAGTGGGTCAGCGCTGCTTGATTGCAGCAGTTGCTGCTAAGGATAGCCCAACCAGTTACTAGGTTTTAGGAACAATCCCTTTTTTTACACAGGGCCATGTAGGGTTGGAGTTTTCCCTTAATAATAAACACCTTCATTTAGAAACTGCATTTTGTCTTATCTTTGCCTGATATTTAAATTTGTTTAATGATCTGAAAAACACAGCTGTATGCCCTCCTTCACATTTGCAAAGCTGCCTGCTGGGCAGGATCGTACTTTTTCTGGACCCCCTGTTCTAATTTGAAGCTATATAAATAAAACCGCATTGAATAACAGCTGCAGACTCATTCTCAGTCAATGATCTGATTTATCGATAAACCGACGAACCTCTGAAACTGTTCAAAAAACAGAAGTGGTTATGTGGCGCAGTCAGCCTTCCACTTTCTGTTTGAATGGATTTTATTCTCATTTTTACTTTTATTTCTTGTTATTAGCTTTATTTTTCTTTTTTAACCTATGTTTATCTTTACTGTAGTTTATTTAATTTAAATTATTATTCAAATGGTACATTCTGGGCTCCTTTTATTTTAAAAATATTTCTATTTTAATTTCTTTCTGTAGTTTTTAGCTTATTAAAATGTTTTATTTAACCCATCCAGTTTGTTTGTTTGTTTGTTTGTTGTTTTGTCTTCTGTAAAAGTGATGACCTAAATCCAGTAAATGATATCTTGAGTATAGTTTGGAGCATGAGATGAAATTCTATTGTTCATTTTAATAATCACTAAAGGAAAAGGAAGCTCCACCTTAAAACAGAGCACCTTCCTTGGCTGTGAGGTCTCACCTGCGGTACTTCACAGTGTAGGTAACGTCCGGCTCCCCTGGAGTCCACGTCAGCTGACCCTTCTCCACCTGGACGTTCTGTGGAGGCAGCGGCGCCTGAGACGCAACTGCAAAGGTGAAGAAAGCAAACCAGAGAAACCCCTGCATAATCCAGATTATTGTTATTCATGTGATCACAGCCTCAGATGATTTATTAAAGAGACAGCAGGAACCATCGACCCCACGACGTCTGAGCTCAGAGGGACAAAGATTCAAAAACGAGGAACAACATCTGTCTGCTGCACACAGCACATTTTTAAAAACTAAACAGATGTGAACCTGATGTTTGTGGTGACATCATTAAATCAGATTTCTGTCATTTATTCACTTTCATGTCTGTTTTCTGATTGGACAGATCAGTTATTTATTAACTGAGAGTGTCAGAGTCAAAAGTCTTTACAGTGAACAGATGAACGAACATTTATTGCATCAGTAATAATGAAGGTTAAACATGTTGACAGGCTGATTTAAACAAACACAGAAGTGATGATTATAACCTGAAATAAACTCTTTGAAAGCTTCACACATCCTTTCCTGTCATGTCAGGAGCTTTGGACATTTATACCCCACTTCCATATTTCACAGGAACCTTTAACCCTCCAGCAGCTGGGGGTTAAAGGTTAAAAAGCTGAAACAGTCGCAGCAAACAGAAAAAGGACATTTTTTCATTTGAGGGCTGAACTGACCTATCAGGAATAACCTACTGCTGACTCTGTTATACCATTAAATGAGTCACCGTCAGCTGAAGAAATGAAAGTGAGCTTTAAAGTGTGACTCAGGAGCAAAAATAATCGATTTACATAATTAAAGGAGAAAATCACACACAGGATGTTGCTTCATCTGTGGTTAGTGTGCC